GCTGCTTCTCTTCTTTTGGGTACTTCAGAGAATCTTACTGTGTGATAAATCAATTAAAATTCTATTTTGAGACATTCTGTCATTTTAACAACCAAAAGCAAGCCACACATACATACAATGACATATTTTTTAGTTTGAAAGCAGTTGCTAAGGCAAAAGAAGAAAATTTCTATATTTCATGAAACCTAAATAACTCTTTGCAAATAGGATAGTAACCAGATAAGGTTAGCAAATGCTCTGTGTGCTTTAAAAAGTATAGATGGAAGTTCTGTAAGCCTCCCCAGGCCCACGGGAGAATGAAGGGAAATGGTATGTCTCCTATGATGGGGAAGTAAAGAGACAAAGTTACACATAATGTCTTGGATTTCTCTTTCTTTTCTTTTTCTTTTTTGACACAGAGTCTCACTATGTCACCCTCAGTAGAGTGCGTGGCATCACAGCTCACAGCAACCTCAAACTCTTGGGTTTAAGAGATTCTCTTGCCTCAGCCTCCCAAGTAGCTGGGACTACAGGCGCCCACCACAACGCCCAGCTATTTTTTTGTTGTAGCTGTCATTGTTGTTTGGCAGGCCCTGGGCCAAGTTCGAACCCACCAGCCCTGGTGTATATAGCAGGCACCCTAGCCGCTGAGCTACAGGCACCAAGCCCACATAATGTCTCTGATTCAAGAAATAATTCAGAAAATGAACAGGCAAGTATTTAGAAATACAACTGGACTTAGTCAACACCACACATCCTTCCTTCACAAATACGTGACTTTTCAGGCACCCCGTTGTCATCTCTGCATTTAGTCCGTAATCTTCTAATATATAGCCCACAGAATTTCTTCTTTCCTTCAGGAACCTTATCTCAATTTGCAAGCAATCATTACTCTGTATATTACTTTATTAATAACGCCTGTCCCTGTGTGCTGTCAGGGCTCACACATCTTTCTGCCCACCATTGAGCCCTAGATCTCCACTTAGCACCGGGAACAAAGAGGCTCTCCAGAAGCAGAGACAGCACAATTCTCTCAAAACTACAGAGGTGTAGGACTTGAAAAGAAAAGGTCATGTCAGAACTTCCAAGCGAGATAAAAGTAGCAAGCTATCTCTAAAATAAGTAACAGAAGCCAGAAAACTGGAGCAATTGTGAGTCAGTGAGAAGGGATATGAGTATATATATGTTATCATAGCACTTACAGCTTAATAACAATCAACATTTTATGTAAATAGACTTGGAAAATTCAAATTCAATTTCAATGTCAAAACGCTGAAATCCTGATGGCGTGCAAGCATTCTGATCACTGGACTACATTCCACCATCCCCCAATACAAATGCAGCCATAACAGGGGGCATTGTAGGGGGAAGGGGTTAGCCACTGAGGAGCTGGGTAATTTGTCTCATCTCCATAAATCATGTTTCCACATGGTTCAGTTGGATTCTGGTCACTTTCTACTTATAATATTGAATAAGTGTGGGTTTGAAATTATGTATATTGAATTTAATTAAACTGCAATATAAGAATTAAAGGGAATATATGAATGTCAAAATAATTTTGAAAACTTGTTATGTGAAGAAGCAATTAAATTTACTTGTTAAAAATAACAGATGAAGACTTAAGAGAGACATCTGTACTATAAAATGAGTACTATGAAAGCTCCATGATAAGCTCAAATGAAGAGTAAATTTCTAAATATGTGAGAGTAATTCTCTAAGTAAGCTGGAGTTCACTCCACTGAGACCTTTCTTCACATCATGGTGCCTTTCTCCTTAAGTGGAGATTCTTAAAGTACTTGGACTTGGACCTAATGATAAAATTTGATTTCCACCTTCCTTGCTATTCAAGTTTGTAAGAAGTACATAAAACTGGCCAAGACATGGCAGACTCTAATGCCCTCAAAATACACCCCACCTTTAATCACTGCTAGTTGAAAGAGAATTGCATGATTCTTCTTTTAAAACTGCCCAACTTCCCGTCAGAGTGATGGGATTACATATAATTAAACTTGCTCAAAAATTCTGCAAGATGGTGCTCTGAAAAAAATGATAGCCATGTTCTGAACAAAGAATAGAATAACTCAGTAAGTTTAAAATCAAGTGCAAACAAATAAATAGCTGCAACCATCTGCCTTATAGTCATTTGCTGATAAAACTGAACTGCTGAACATGTTAACTTTGCTGCTAAATGCTACTTTAATCTCTAATTATTGTAGCCAACTTTGTTGATTGTGGAAAAAGGAAACTACTCAAATGATATTTTTCATAATCATAATATTAAAAGTTTGAAAAAGAGAAAACACATAGAATGCATTACCCTGAGTGTGTAGGAGACTTAATTAGGAAGTTCATTTTTATAGCAAGAGAGGGCCAACACATCATGTAGAAGCCTTTAGGTACAAGCTGATGACGCGCAGCACACATGCCATCACCAGACTCTAACACTTAACACCTGAAGACTTTGGGCAAGTTATTTCACCTTTCCGTGTCTGGATTTTTTGAGCTGTAAAAGATATACAATAATACTACTAGCAGTGTAGGAATTAAGAAGGTGAATAAATCTAAACCAGGCAGAACGGTGGAACATGTGTACTGTTTTTCCCTAAAATTTCTACCTAAAGGATAAGCAAAACAGCTTCTTTTATTTTTGTAAAATAATAAGTACGTATATTTCAACAACGCAGGTGCCTCTTCGGTTCAAAAGGAAACACAAATACAGTAAATACCAAATGATCAGGGTAGGTAACAGGAAAACCTCAATCTAAGTAAACAACTCCAAAGACCATTTTTTGAGAGTCAGAATGCATCTGAGGAGGGTAAGCTTCACTGCAAGCCTACATTATTTTCCCCAGAAGTTCTACACTCATCTTCCCAAAGCCATATCCTAAGCCTGCCCAACAGCAAAGTTTCCCATCAAGTCCCAGGAATGGTACCACTGAGTTCCAGCCCGTCGCCACCCCTCTTCTCTCTTTGGCTTCGCTCTTTTGACAGACACCTCTCTCCACCTCCCACTCTGGGTACCAGAATGAACCTCTGCCAGCCCTCCGTCCAGCAGAAAACTTCGAAGTGGGCAACAGGCTATAAAAGTGGAAGGCACTCGCCCCCATGCCCACCTGCGCCCGCCGCCCTCCGGCCCCCAGTGCCCCGCGTCCACTCCCGCTCAGCCAACCGCCCCGGCACCGCAGTGCACGGCAACGCACGCAGACGCCGCTGGCTGGAAAGGAACCCATCGCGGGTTTCCTGGTCAC